TTCCCTTTAGGAAAATTGTTGCGATACAAGTGCTGCCGGTATCCATAGTAACAAACCCTGGAACACCTGTATGAACAACCCCACACGGTCAATATAAAAGCTTTCTTTAAGATTCTCCAATAGTGTTCATAATCACAACATGAATAACACAATCAAGTTATACATTATAGTTGACACACAATTCTATAACATAGCACAATATTTTCAGTTTAAAACAAGTGTTCAAGTGACAACCAGCAAAGAACATAGACAGGGTGCAAATTTTTCCAGGAAAAATCCATAGGCAGTTGCTATTTCAGTAATGGTGCAGTGGTCACTCAGTGGAATGTATATTGACATAAGTAATGAATCATAATCTAAAGCATCAAACTGTTAATATGACTATCCACAAATTAACCAGACATGAAAATATACATAAAGTTTGGAAAGGTATATTTTATTTCATTGTTTGTAGACGTCATGTATGATATTTACAAGGTTATATTTCAACTACTATAGTATTACATGTAGTCAGTTATGATCGAATTATACTTATAGAAACTAAGTGATTTAGTACAGATTTAATGGTCATGTGATCAAAATCAATCATTTTTATATTACAACTTTTCAAACTCACACTTTCACATTCCTGACCACTGTAAGTGTGAGAACATCGATGTGATTGGTCAATCATGTTGCTTTTTCAAGAATGTGGTAATCACTGTCAACAACTTTTGATATAACATTGGACATGTGCATGCAAAAGTGAGAAGTCTACAAAACATAGCATTGCAGCTGTGATACATGTACATTAACTTTAATTATCCACCAAAAAACTGAAGTTATTTTCTTATAGTCACCCTTATACCATAAAGTTTGAAATGTTGGAAGTAAGTTCAGCCATACATCCCACAATCTCCTGAACAAGACAGACATTATGGTTGATGACAACATGAACCATCTTTAGTTTAATAGGCATACATACTCCACAATCTTTAATAAATAACCTTTGGATAAATAATATGCTACATTTTGGAGTGAGAGCTGTAAAAGAACATCCTTCTCTCTGCTTCAACAGAAAAGCTATGAAAATGGGAGAGAATTTCTAGTAACGGATGTATATAAATGATGCACACCTCGTAAATCTTCAAATTTAAGATAGATGCCATCTATCTATATAACAATACAAATTAATACACATCTCCAACTTTAATGAACCCAAATCTCCTTTCCTCTTGGGAATTAAAGAAACCAAGCCAGCAGGTTAGTAACACATGGTTAAAACACCAGGCGATGGACCAGAATACTATAGCTTTAATTATGAAAAAATATGGCAGAGGAAAGTGAATTGACTGATCAAGGGAAGAAAATTACGAAAATACAAATGTACTTAATGCAAAAATTAAATAATATGAATGTTTCACAAACCTCATGCAAAGTGCTCACAAGAATGTTCAATTGGAAAACAGATTTTGAGATATTTTGACCCAAAATTGTCTTGACTACTTTGAATTATTGGCCAAACATCTATTTTTTTCAAATATCATGATAACTGGCTGACACAATTGTACTCCACTCAATAGCAGGGTTTGTGACATGTGTAACCAAGGTACCATTGAAAATAAATTTCATTCTATGGTGGAATGTTCCAAATACAGTAATAGATACAGTGTTATGTTTGATACAGCTGCTGATTTGATTGACTCCTTTCACAACCTGCCTCATCAAGAACAGTTCACTGCACTGTTAAATATGGCCTGACAAGTTGGCGTAGGTGGCGCCCTGGACTGCCGCGATCCCCAACTTGTCAGGCTATGTTAAATAATGATAATATTGTCTGGATATGCAGATTAGACGTTTAAATCACTGACCTCCCAAAGGGCCCACTAGCTAACCTGTATTTAAAACTCGTTAACATATTAACTTTGCCTTAATAACAACAACAAATCGCTCTTCAACTTCAGTGCTCAATCATGGAAGACCCTTGTCGTCCCTCTACGGCGGACTGTGTTTTTAGTGTACATGTATGATGCAGTTACGTTCAAGTAGTTTTACTCACCGAAGATGCACTGACTGCACCTCTTGTCTTCTTGCCAGACATTTTCTCCGATCTATGATGGTATTTGTGTTCAGTCAGGAGAACCGATTATTCGGGATATTCACATGGAATTAGCTATTTGATTTGGAGCATTTGATACGATGTTCGGATTAGGAATTCGTGGAGGCCGCCATTTTGTAAACAGTCAAAACAGAAGCAAGAAGTTTTTATAAGTAACTTCAAAAAAATAGAACAAATTCCAGAGAAATAATTGATTCTATCACAATAATTACATCTATTGAAATTATTGCGAATTTTTTTTGTATTTTTCATCAGTTTTTACTCAGACCAATGACATAATTGAAACATTTGAAAATACGTCGTGAGTACGAGGTCGCAATCAAACAATGAATCCTGGGACATTGTATACGAGGTCGGGGGAGGTCACGCCATTCTTTTAATACTTTTTTGTTCGTGATCTTTGGAACTACATATTTACATACAAACAAGATCAAAGTTTTTATTTACGTTCATGTGTTGTTTACTTCACTGCCACACGTCATCATAGATGTTATTGCTAGTTTAATGTTGGACATCGCTGCACACCGAAAAAGAAGTTGCAACCCTGAGATATTCCGAAAGAATTTTTGCCATTCAGAAAAGTTCAGCTGTAAAAAGATTTAATTTAAATCTCTGACCTGTAGATGGTCTAGAAAGTTTGGCCGACTTTGGGACTGAAAGTCGACTCGAAAACACGCGCGTTGGAAAACTGCCATTCAAAATACTCAGTGGTAAGTACTTCAATGAAACTTTCATCGACTTTTTGCCGTGTGTCTACAGTCTCGGCGACCGAATTTTTTTGGAATTTATGTGTTGACATTTGATATTCTTAGTGATAGCCTTCTGCTGAACCGCTTTTAGTCTGCAACTGCCAGGCGTTATGTCTGATCAGTCTTAACCGCAAACTTTTGCAAACTAACTTTTGCAAACTAACTTTGATGATATCGCCTCTAACACATTAAGTGTTGGTATCAGGACCTTGAATAGTGAAGTAATTTGAATGGCCAAAGAGGCCCATTTTATTCTCGATTCACGGTCTTGTTGTCGTAGACTGTATGAGTAATCTTTGAAACACGAGACTGTTTTAAGTTATTGCTGCGTTAATTTTATTACTCAAATTAATTTTATTTCATTATTTAAATTAGTATATTAATTAGATGAGATTGCTACAAATGAGTTTTTGAATAATTTTGTGCAAGTGACAAAATACCTAAAAAGAGGCATAATGTCTAGCCCAGAGATAGATAACTTCCTAACTTTCATGCAAGTCAACATAGAAAAATAATAGTTATTTGCGGAAAACAAGAGAACAAAAGTATTGTTGATTTGATAAAAAATGTGTATTATACAAATACAATTCTTATTTACTGGTAGATACTCATTACTTGTTAATTCAAAATAGATGTTCATTTGCATTTTCAATTACTAGTATTTTACTTTGAATGTCAAAGACGACTTTTGTTAACTTTTCATCAATTAAACCTGTTAAGGCAAGGGTTTCAGAAGCATTTAATAGCAGGCCATCATCTTGTAACAACAGGATAAAATAAAAAAAATAAAAAGGCTCTAGGCAGTGCGAAGTGCTGTAGCGAGACTGGCGTAGGCGGTTGAGGAGGACCAGAAAGTAGAATGGAAGATGTTGTTTATTTGGTCCAAAACTTAATGAAAAAAATTCTAAAAAATGCATAACAAAATTTCTGCTGCAAAAATTAAGGCCTGCAAAAGGATGGAATACTATCTTGTGTGCTGTGAAAAGTTTAGGGTAAACAATAGAAACCAGTGTGAACCGGTAATCAACAAAACTCTGAATGATCAATATACTCAGGTTTTTCATATAAGCTTCTTAAATATATATTTTCAGTACCAATATCATTTATGAATTTGAAGTAAATACAATAATATTAAGCTTGTCATGGTCTTTTTTCGTTAAAATAAAGTTGTTTAATAATGTAATACAAACATGAGTCTTGTACATAATTATACTGTGTTATGTATTATTTTAGATTTACTTTGGGAGTTGAAAAAACAAATTGTATACTCATTTCCAGACAGTATTATTTTTGTTAGTTACATGTAATTTCAGCTATACTTATTAATACTTTTTATAAAAAAAGGACTATGTGCCACAAAATGCTGAAGGGGAAGGGGGGGGGTGGTATCTTTACCATGTCGCCTACTTGCATGTAAATAAGTGTCCAAAACCACTAAAAAAAATATTGCTAGAGTGTCATGTCACAAGTTCACTTGACATTGGCTTAATATCTGGGGTTGTCATTGTCCTAAGTTTTGATCACTTGACAGTGGCATGATATCTAGGGGTTGTCATTGATTGATTAATGAGATATCATGATATTGATTGAGTATTCAATGGAGTACAGTTGACCTATGACCTTTCTATTTATAGATTTCTTATGATGTATCCCACCCCATTGCTTAGACTCTAAACTAGCTAAGTAAGGCAGTTATTTTGTGAAAAAAATGGAGAATTTGAAGTCCTGACTTTGATAATCTACTAGGACTCACTCCCACCCTCTTTTCAATTAAATTTTCTGATGTAGTTATGCTGAATTTGACGGCGTAATCAGATGTTTTCCTGGCATCAATATATGCATGTACATATTCGGGATTGAAATAAAATATTGGATGTCAATATCTTGTCATAATAGTTGTTTTAAATATAGTTTAGAAATAGTATCTGAACTTTAGAATAATGCATTATTCTATTTTACTTATTTTATTAGAGATTTGTAAAGGAACCATAATCGTAATCACCTGGGCCAGTTCCCGGGGATGGGATGGTGGTCATGACAATACTATTGTTGATGCCAGATCCCAAAGGAGAGGACATCAATAATATTATTGTCATGACCAACAGCCTAAACAAATTGTGATATTGCCCGAATGACCATGTGTTATTTATTTTATCACATCAAAAATAAATCCACCATGCACAACTATCCCTAACAAACATCTTTCACACCCTCTCTCCAACAAAATAACAACACTTATATTTGCACATTACTCAATCACATACATACATGTACATACATTGTTTGCTGGAAAAAAGCTACGAAATACATAGTAAATGTTACTTTCAGCAGTGTGAATCATTCAATTTATCAAGTATAAAATTATTTAAATGAATTGAGAATTTCTCATGCGCAAGTTATTTCATCACACGCCAGATAAAAATGTCAAAATGCAGTGGAAGTGACAGCTATGACTTTCTCACGAATGTCGAACCCTCACACATTTAATACATTTTCACCATTCCGGAACTAGATCTCAGTTGTGCATAAATGGATTCTTTTCAAACTTGATTATAACCTTGATGTACACCATTTTATTTTTGAATCCTGTGTGCAAAGCAAAAAATTTGAGTTTTTGCAGTTAGCCTGTGTGTTTGTATGTATGTATATTTCTCATGTCTCAGTAAACCTCACAACTCAAGGGAGACTGAATGCAATTACTTTTACTTTTTAGCTCCGCTGTCGACTTTGTCGAGCTGAGCTTATCATATGAGTGATTGCATATGTACCTTGGGTAGACCTCTCTTAGATTTGTTCATTTCATGATGATATCTTCAATTCTCTAATTTTGGTGAATATTTTTGTCATTTTTTGGTGAAAAATTATATTTTTGAATTCTTGTTAAAAACAGCAAGTCTACATATTGTTCATTTTCTAATGATATCTTCTGTTCTTTAATTGAAATGTGCATTGGTAACAGCGGAGCTATCTCAGCCGACAGGCTGCTTGTATGTAATTATTCTTATTTAATTTTTGAACAGTTTCTGAATGATATTCACAATACTATGCATTTGATAACATTTTATTATTTTTTTTCATCTGTAGAAACACTACCAGTCAAACTGGCTACCATCATGGCAAAGGGCAACAGTGTTGCTACCCCTAGAGAGACCACACAAACGTTTTATCAGAAGCAACGTCAACGTGTGTTTCGGCGCACTAATGAGCAGAACAATAAAATAGGAAAAGGTAGCACATCAGTTACTGATCACACAATGATACATTTCAACAATAGCGCTGTTATGAATGGTGATGCGATTTCAGATCAAAATACATTGCCGAGTATTGAAATAGAGTCCAGAATCCCACGGTTTCCTGTTACCAGTGATAGGCAAACCATGAATGACTCCACATTGCAAGATTATAGAAAAAAATCCGAAGTCAAAACATCTCGAAAGACTATTACTCTGAAACAAAATAATAATGAGATGAAGCCTGCTGATACAAGACAATCTGTGTTTCCGCACAACAGCCCGAAAATCACAAAAATAAAAAACAATGCCCAATCTGGGGAAGGAGCAAATAATAACAAACAATCTGTTAAAAAGACTAATACTGCCAGGAGTTCACGACAGCGTGAAGTTAAAGTTTCCAAATTTGCTATTACTTTAAAAACTAATGCTGCTAAAAAAGAAACATTTCCAGAGGAAAATAACACTGAAACAACAAACTGGGGTGATTTACAAGAGCCCGATTTTTCCCCACTGACGCTACCAACGGAAATTCCAACTCTAGAATTCACATCAAAAACTGAGAAAGTGCCGCATAAAAAAGCAGACATGGAACCAATAGGAAGACCTCACCAGAGAGAACAGTTGCCACCTAAAGGATCAACCAGTGATCGATCAAAGGAGCGTAGTACTTCACGTAGAAAGAAGTCACAGAGAAGTTCTCAAAGCAGTCGTCATGACAGAGGATCAACATCTGGGTACCAAGAAGAGAAACAATCACCGTATGTTCATGGGAATGATACCAGAAAACATGCACATCATGAACGCAGGTCTTCGAAGAATTACCACGAAAATAGATCTTACTCTGAAGAACATGATACAAGTAGAAAAAGTTCGGGTTATCATGGGAATTCAAAATACAAGTATCCACAGCCGAACGAGCGAACACGATCATCATCAGCTGGTCATAGAGACAATTACACACCCCACCATGAGAGGAGACAGTCACCGTCAGGACGACAAGATGGCCATCACCGACAAAGCGGGAGAACATCCCCAGCATACTGGCATGCCACTGGTGATTCATGTTATCGTGGCACCAGTGGTGGCAGCAGGGATTCTTCTCCGAGCAGCTGGAAAGCCCCGTCTAGATCATCGTCTGCACAAAGACATTCTAGTAGAAGATACCAGCCAATAAATGATGGCCCACATGATGGCATCTATAGTAGACGCAATACGGGAAAGTGGGTCGAAAGTACTCTAATAGATTCTGACAGTAGACAACATAATCGCCGATGGGATGAGAATGGACCATGTCTGTTTGCAGGACAGTGGGATGACATATATAGTAGACCCCCTAGACAGATAAACTCAAAACGTGAAAACTGGAGTGATAGTGGTATATACTATAGAAATACAAGGAGTATGGAAAGAATCCCTGGTGGACCTCGATCTAGGTAATGTTTTCTGTAATTAACATTTGATTTTATGTGATCAAGGATGTATAATATAAGGATATGCAAATTTGATATCCATGCGCAGTGATATGTGATATAGATTCTACTCTATGCAAGTTTCATGCACATGTCAATCAAACTCACTCCTGACCAATGACATCACAGAATGTAATGACCAATTGGAAATGTATTATTGTGTGAAAATAAATTAGCCAGGTTAGCCATATTTAATGAATATTGAATATGTATCAAAATAACACATATTCACCATTCCAGATCTCAGTCGTGCACGGACAGATTCTTTTCAAACTTGCTGCATACATTGATTATAAGGGGGCCTTGATGCACTTCATTTTATTTTTGACTAATATGCACTACAAAGATATAAATCCTGTGAAACTTATTTGCATTAGTAATTCAGCAATTTCAAATTAGATTTTCATTGCATATCACACTTGTTGGATCGTCTTAATGCATTGTCTGCTGACAACCTCCTGACATATTATAATTAAATGGAAAAAGCGGTGCCAGCAGACAGTGTGTTGATGTGATCTACAGGCTTTTAAGTGAAAGGACATTGATACAATTCAATAATTCACTCAAAAGAATTCTGTGTCACTTGCATTCTCTCAGCAACTTAACAAGTCTATAACTATCACAGTGAGATTAAAATGGCTTCCCTGAACACTTTATGCAACTGATTTGTGGGGGGGGGGGGCAATTAAGATCTCTTCAAAATGGTATGAATTTGGAGAGTGATAATAAAATGTACATGTACCTCTTGTGGGTCTTGGTTTCAGTGATAGGCGAGTGATCACTCGTCTTAAAAAGCAATATCTGGTCGCCTAAATACAGTTAACATGAGTGATTTTAGGGGCAGCACAGTTAATGGTTTGGAACTGTGATAATTATGAGAGAAAAAAAAGATCAGTAACAAAGTAACATAGTACCCAGGAAACTCAAAACTTGTCTATTGCCGTAATTGATGCATGTAATAGCAAATAATTAGGGGTTTACAGTTTTGGGGTTTACTTCATTTTTTTTTTGAACTTTCAGAACCCCATCAGTTACGTCAGAGGATTTCAACTATGGTGCCTTACGAGGTGGAGATCTGTCTTCATCTCAAAGTTCTTTATCTAGTCTTTCAATGTCAACAGGGACTAAGAAACGAAGGCAGAAGAAAAGAAATCGGAGTAATAGAAATAGGTATATGCATTACTTGTTTATATTATATTGTAACTGACTCTTTCATTTTATCTGGGAGAACTTTTGTTTTGTAGTTGTAACTTGTCCATGATATTATTGTTATACATCTGGGCACTAAAAACAGTAGAATTGTCATTCCGTAAAAAGCTGTATCAGAACTTTTTTTCGAAAACTTGTCAGCACTTGTTCAAATTTTCTCTTGAAAAAAGTAAATATGTCACTGACATTGACACGTTATGTGTTATTGACATCACATTTAAACACTTCTTTTTGTTGCATTAGATGCAGAAGTACTATAGTGCACGACACGGAACGCAAATATTCACACTCCCAAAAACATTTTTGATTCCCATTTTGGTAATAGTCTTGCAACAGATTTATATTGCAAGCAGGAAAATATACATGTATGTATAATAATATGAGGTTATTATGAGTATACTGCAAGTATGCACGGAGACAGTACAGCGGGAGTATCAACCGACATGCAGCAGAGGTTGATACGATCGCGTACTGTCTGAGTGCATACTTTGCAGTATCCTTGTAATAACCTTATTATTATACATCTTTTCCTACCAGGAATACATCATTGCAATGCCAAAATCCAAAACATTTAGAACATATCTTCTTTGCGTGGGGTCCAGTCAAACCCTGGGGGCAGCCATGTTTGTTTTTTTATTATTGGAGGACGCTTACACGCGTAATCGTTCCTTATTTGGAATTTGCTTTTTCTAATATGGTAGAATGAAAATACCCAGTACAATACCGCAAAAGTGACAGATGTATAATAATAAGAAATATAATAATAAGGTTATCACAAGAATACTGCAAAGTATGCACTCATTGGTCAATGAGATTGCTGTACTGCCTTCTACTGTCTAAGGTCTACTGCCCTATGGAGTTTCAGAATACTATAATTTAGAGTATCTCCGCATTATGTATAACACTATATAGCCTATAATGCATTGCAACTTTGGGCTACCATGTATTACACTATTTATCTAAGCATGCCATATGATATCATGCGCAATAATCAGACTGACTGGTGAACTGAATACTTACCGTAACACCATTCTGCTTATTTGTCTATCTGGTTTCTACAAGGGGTTCATTTCCTCCATCTGAAATTCAACAAAACAGATTGTTGGGTCTGCACATATATATTTATTTTTCTACAATTTATTTGTTAATTAATTATGATTCTATATGGATCTAATTTCACATTGGCTAAAGTATTGGTCAAAATTTGGAAAAATTCTAGAAAAATAATGAAATAATAACTCTATTTAATTAAGCGCAACAATTCCAACATATGAAGATCAAAGGCGCTGATACAATAAACAATCAGTCAAATATTAAAAGCACATTTAAATAAGTGCGTTTTCAGTCTGGATTTAAAAATGTCTACTGAAGGACTAGAACGAACAGACAGAGGTAATTCATTAAAAAGTTTAGGACCTAAATTTTCAAAAGCACGGTCTTTGTATAACACCTTGGACTTTTTACTACACATCTGACGAGTTTTAATAAGAAACTTCGATTCAGATCTTAAACTACGACTCGGTACATAAAATTCGATTAATTCACATAGATAATTTGGGGCAAAACCATACAAAGATTTATACACTAGTAAAAGTAATTTGAAATTGATTCTTTGTACAACTGGTAACCAATGAAGTTTAATAAAAATGTCTGTAATGTGGTCATATTTATATGAAACTTTGATTTGTGAAAAATTATAATGCATGACCATGACCATGGCTTTTCAAGAGTGAACATGGAGCTGATAATACAATTAAGGAAAAAATCATTTAGTCTTAAGATAAGAATTAATATGAATTTATTTCCTAAAATTGTAACATCTTGAATGTTCCTGGCCAGCTGTTATCAGCTGGATTTTCCCCTTTTTACGATGTTTCTTCTTTTTTCAAGGTCTGGCAGCAGAGAAAGAGGATACAATTATCAGTCAGACAATACCTGGGATGATTCACTTAGGTAAGATTTAATTTCAATTTATTAAGATCAACATTTGTATGTATTTTAATAAAATAGTAATTCAGACAATTGTCGTCATTTAGTGTGTTTTCAAATTGTGTTTTACACGTGTTGTATACTATAAATGGGCATTTAATTTCACTATTTTGATATTTTGAGTAATTTCACTGGGGGTAAGTTTGCGAACTTGGCAGAAAAAAGTATGAGTCCTCCTGTTATTCTACATGTTCGTGTGGATTTAATTTAAAGAGTTTTACTTTCAACGAAAATAGTGAAATTAAAACCCAGCAAATAGTATTTCGCATGGGACCTATGGTACATGAAGGTTCCAGTTGAATTGAAGGGTATATATTTCTTCTTCATCGTCTTCTTGCTTTCATTATTATAAGTTATTAAATGCCACTCTTTGATAAATGGTACAATTTGCTTTTTTGCATTGGTTTCCATGTTGAAATTATTTCTTCTTATCTCAAAGTCATGTATTGCTGTTGATATGAATCCTAATATTATTAACATTTTCTAAAAATTGTCATTTAATTGAGTCAGTTTCCAGTGTAATACTAGTTTTCCTTCTCTCCCATAATGCACTGCAGCATATGTGCAGTAACACACTTAATAGTAGTTTGGCTCAATTTGCTTTTGCAAGCAGTTTGCGTGTTGACAGGTTTTTTCAACATATATTCTGCCTTGTATATATGCTTTGAGTCAACTTAAAATTATCTTTAAAGGAAAGTAATTAATTGCAGCATTGGCATTGCATTTTAAATAGAGAATATTTGTTGGAGAAATGAGGTCAGGAATTTGACTTTGAAGCCAAGATAAATTGGAAATGATGGTTTAACTATTGATCCCAATAAGTATTGTGTGGTTACTCTGAGTTCAGTAGATCCAAGAAAAAGTCATCTGGTTAAGAAAATTAGGCAACTGATAGATGTTATATTATTTTATGGTGTCATATACATTCAGTATAACTGGTTCCTTGTGAAAGGGCAGTGGTCTTCGCAGAATGTCCTGTTCAATATGCGGCTCATACACAACGATGGTAAAATGCATGTTTACATGAAACGCGCACTACGCGATGACCACCGTCCTTTAATAGTAATTTTGGTATGTTGTTGGTATAATAATACTTACTGTATGGGCTCAATTATTAGTTATGTTATGTTTTTTCTGATTATAATATATATAAAAGCGATAAAGTAGGTCTCATTGAATATTCAAATCTAGGAGTATAATATATTATTTCCTTTCACAAACCATGCTGTGAAATAAAACTATATTTCTTCTTTGAAATAATTTGATAACAGTAACATTATATATAATAAGGGCAAGGTTTCAATTGTTTTACTATGTTCTTTAGTAATTCATCACAAATAATTTGTTAGAATTGAATGATTTTAATGTATAAAATCAACAGTCAATTTTTGTTATCATTCCTCAAATAAACTTGCCCAATTTGTCCATACTTTGTCAAGGATTTTGATCAAGACCCCTAGCCAATAAGGTATTATTTTGATTCATAATTATGAAAAAGTATAGAGAAATGAAATTATGCAAATTATTGCAGCAAAACTTTGTTGGTAAGAATATGATATTCAAAGGGCTAATTACCAAGTTAACATACTATTCAGGTCAGTATGCAAGTCTTTTTCTAATAGTACTAACTTAAATACCCGGAATATCCTAGATTTTATGCATGTCATTATCATCACAGCTGTTTGCAATATATTATCTTTGATTTATTTCCCCTTGAAGCAGGTTTACATTTGTCATACACTGCAAAGGAATTCTACCTTTTGAATGTCCAACTCAACTTCTATCAACCACACTTTCATAACATTTTTCTTTACTTTTTTCCCAAAATGTTGAAAATAGAAAATTATGGAAAAAATACATAAAAAATATGTCAATGGTAAACAAATACTATAGATGGTACTATAAATAGATCTGACCTAATCGGCTAAGTTGTTCATTGCATGAAATATATTAAGGGCTGACACCATGTGTAGATGTTAAAGATATGTTCAACTCCAACTGTGTTACTTTGTTGCAGCTTTTTAATGACTTGTTATGAACCACAGGACATTTTAATACCTAAACGAAGTGATTGCAAAATTATTTCAATGCCATTCTGGCTTTTGGTTACTAATTCATTTGTCCGAATTAAAAGACCTCATGCAGATTCATGAAGCGACAATGATGTAACTCTAATCAATGAATATGAATACATAGTTTTGATTGGTTGACAGGCTGTGCTATAATAACAAATAGTAAACACAGGATAGATGGCTTGTGAACTTTAATCTAGGCAAGGGTTCTTTCATTTTCAAGTTTGTATATCTAAAAACCTTGTCTTTTGGGGAATACAGGAAAATCCGAAATGTATTCGTTCATAATAATACAATACAAGCTTGAAGCATAGACCCTCTAACATCCAAGAAACTCAAGTTGCGTCGCCCAGTAGATTTCTCTGGTATATAATGTTCATTGTTAATTTGTTCGTCTTCTTCGATAAAATCGCTGTCAGTTGCATCGTAGTCACTAAAAACTTCAAGAAACTCATCAACGTCGCTAAAACATGCCTCGAAATCGTCCATCATCTTAAAATGAGTGATCAGCTGTAATTTGCATAATCACATCTCGCGATGTACGAGTTGTTGGGTAATTTGCATAAGACCGTCTCACAAATGGCGAGAGTTTGTTGAGTTTAGTTAGTTAGTTGTTAGTTAAATTTAGTTAAGGGATTACAAGTAACATAGATCACAGGAAATACTGCAGTTTCCTATCCCTCTGTTAGAGGGTCTATGCTTGAAGTTTACATTCATTTCTTGATGAAGTAAAGACATTTTTTGTAGCGAACCAGGACTGAATAATAGAACTCAGAATAGTAAGTATGTGTGTGTGTGTGTTTGTTCATTTGTGTACGTCTATGGTAGTACACATAAATGATTGTTTGTGAGATGTTTTGATTCTTCAGTGTCCATAATACCAGGTACTGTCAGTTCAACTGTTTTAGTTTTCATTAATTAAAGACTAAATTAGAGTTGAACCATTACTCCAAGAAGTTAAATCTGAGGTGAACATCATTTTGGAGAACAAAAAACAGCATAATTCTGTGATATGTCAAAATTCTAGAAGCTAATAAATTATGATTTTTTACGGTATTTAATAAAAACTGTACCAATACAACTTATTGTTATCCTAAAACATAGACTGTCGCAACAAATTTCATCATATGATGATCCTGTACAAAGGTCACACAGAAGTCCGACAACAGGTCTCAGTATTCATATCCTATGACTGGTTGTCAATCTGTTTTAACTTTGAATTAAATGATTTAACAGAACTTAACTAAAAAATTAGTTTAAATGGATATTGATAACAGCTCAGCTACATGTATGGTACAATGTCTACATGTACACAATAGTATTTCTTGTTATCATAAATTATATAACCCAAGCACTGAGAATACTATTTGATGTAACTTGATGTGTGGCATATTCTGCCCAGTATCAGGGAGCTTTATAAAGAGATAATTACATGTAATGGCAGTGCAATTCCGATATTAATGGCACTTAGACAAATTTATACAGTCAGATTTGATGAAGATGAATAATACGAATTCATGAGAAATGACTTAAGCCGTTTTCAGTCTGTGAAGGTCATTAAGAGCAGATTGCAGCCTTGGGCAGGAAAATAATTAGTATAGATACATTCACAGGTCACTACGTCTTGGTTATAATTGCATACACAATGATGTCAGTATGGGATAATACCATGTGTACGTCTTATGACTTATGAGTATGGAATTTGGAGTAATGGAATGATAATATCATGCAGGCTATTAATAGACCTTGATTTGATGGACTCTTAATGAAATGATGACCCACTTAATTGTTACAGCTGCTTGTGATTGAATTATATTCACAGGTAAGACCCAAAGAATGATTTGTCTCTGGTCTTAGGATATTTTGATACATGGTGTGGTGATAGGCACCTTGTTTTTTTTATTTCTTTAAGCCCTGTCTTGACTGGCCCAGGTGATTATGGATTCGGTTGGGTTGAGTCTGTTGTTTTTACCTTCACATTTTCTCAGAATTTTATGGTGGTATGTATACATATACATATTTATACATATGCTCTTGAGAGCAACTGGCAGACATATTAAATCCCAAAAGACCTAAAAACTTGTATTAAATATGTGAAGAGCATTATCTCCAAGTCCATACTCCGATTAGGTTCAAACTTGTAAAAAGTTGATTTACTGAGTCACTTAGTTCCATTACTTTTCTGAATTTGTTCGATACCCGCCCACATTTTGTCTGTCTAAAGTACTTATTTTTGGTGTTTTGATCAGCCTGAGGATGCAGTCATTAAGTCATCTTGCTACAGATGCAATGTATTGTTTCACATAAATGCTAATCAAGAATCTGTGACAACCAATTTTGTTTACGAAAATCTGCATTTTTTGTTGTTGCATAATTCTGTTTATATCTCAAATTGTTCACTTTTATTCAGATATGATACACAATCAATTGTGTTTTACTACATAAAGGAAAGTTGATATGTGACATGATCCAATCCAATACAGCTGGCAGCCATTTTGTTTTAACATTTTTGCAATCATAGACATTATATGGACTCAAATGTTCACAGTTTATTACTGGAACATTCATTTTGCAGTACAAAAAGTGAGTTCTGTGACATTCTCAGTAGCTTGTTTTTTTTTTGCCATGGAACTTTTTTTTTCTTGTGTATAAGCAGAATTTGACCAAAAATAAAATAATGACAAACATCTTTCAAACTGTCACCCACGCTGATCGGCCTCTGTTAGCAATTATAATACAGCAAGTATGAGGTAATTTGCAGCCTTATATTCATATACTGACTGATTTTTATGTGTGTGTTTGTGTAACTCAATGCAGTATTAACACACCAATGACACATGTCATGTGATCAATAAGCGTTATTAAAATAACTGATTTTTATGTGTGTGTTTGTGTAACTCAATGCAGTATTAACACACCAATGACACATGTCATGTGATCAATAAGCATTATTATACAACTGTACACATATTAACTCATAATAATAACAATCTGTATTGAACTCTTATTCTCATTGGGATTTTGATCATTTATATCTCGAGGTAAATTTTGGGAGGGCCAGATATAGCTGGTGGAGCTGGTTCATCGATGACCATGAATTTAGAATCGTTGTCCCATACACTATCTTTGCGTATGATTCACCTGTGTGAGATGGTGCAAGACACTTACAAATTACCTGTAATTCTCTATGATTTGTACTATTGGTCATTCATTTTTAGTCTGTCAGCCATGTCTATGTTTTACTTTATCGTCGCCTTCTTGAAAACTACAAGCCTGATTGCTTTGATACTTTGTGTATATGTACCTTGGGTAGACCTCACCTTAATGTGTTCATTTCATGATGATATCTTGATAAGTGATATTTTTGATTTCTTGTTGAAAACAGCAAGGCCTATTGCTTTGATATTATACATATAGGTACTACAGATTGACCTCTCTTAGATTTGTTCATATTCTAGTATCTTCAATTCTTTAATTGAAATGTGCATTGCCAACAGCAGAGCTATCTGAGCCGAGAGGCTGCTCGTTTCTAAAACCTTATTATGAAAGGCCTTTTATAGAAGTGTCAATCTTCAGGAAATGTAATCAGCAATATAATTACTCGCCCTCATCACCTGCCAGCTAACATGCAGATTTCTTTGTTTCATTCATTCAAAGACACAACCAGGTGCTGAGGAATAACTTTGTATACCTAAAAATTATTTAATATAGTTGTAAACTTACTTTGGCATACTATTGGCAAAAATTGCTACCGGTACTACCATTAGCAAAACATCATATTATTCAGCAAAATTTAGAAAAGAAGAAAAGAAAAAAATGTTTGTTCTCAGAATGCATGAAGCATATCCCAACAAGGACAAGGTAAAACAGCTAAGACGTATGACAGTTCATTCTGTTTCTAAACTAGCTACTGTAACAAATAAACTGACATTAAAGTTCAAACCCACTGAGAAAATAAGTTATAAGTGTAAAATGTGACCTGCATTGTGTATGTCTGAAAAATTGAAATCAAATATGTATTTGTTTTATTCAAGTATTAAGGAATGTGATACTCTTGGGTGATATGTCAGATAGCCTTGGTGCTGGATTAATTAATGGCATAGCCTTCACCTGTGTTGGCCTTGGACTACTGGTGGGAAAGTTATATGCACCATATCATATGGTCTTTTTGATCTTGAACTACAATGTTTCTATAGACAGCAATGCAAACCTACACAAAGTGCCAATGAGTTTTTTCTTTTTCTTTCAAGAACTATTGTACCCTCAATTAAAAATTGGAAAAGAGTGACTTACTTCTTTGTTTATTTAGTTGAGTTAATATTTTTTATTTGTTTGTTTGTTTATTTAATTGATTTATATATTTATTTAGAAGGGATTATGAAAATTAAATATACAAATACAAATGAACCATTAGGAGTGTGATAAAAGAACTACTTGTGAATGGTGAAAATTCTGGATATTTCCTGGCCAGGGCAAGCCTCATACAAAATTGCTTGTTTTATTTCGAACTGTGCATACAGGCTCACACAACAATGAATTTTTACATATATAACCGTCCAGTTTTTAGAGATCTGATAAAAGCGCATTTTCGGGCACACTGATGAATTCAAATAATTGTCATATTTATGTGTTGTGATTAGTTATAGTTTTTAGTAATGATAACATAATGTTACAACTATGAACTACTGTCGTGAACAATGTTTATATTTTGAACTATGTGTATGTGTACAAATGTATGTGGTGCGTACAATGTAGATTAAGAAGTACTATTTGTTATATACACTAGCCAAACTAAAAATAAGCTGCCATAGCCTAGAAATTAAAGTTTGGGAGAAATACACGTCCTAAAACACCAGCTGATAAAAGAATTTGCAAAATATGTAAAACAACAGAAGACGAAATACATTTCATAATACACTGTCAAATATATACAAATGAAAGACAAGAACTTTATGAACAATTTAACAGAATATACAATAATTTCTCAACACAGAATTACATAGACAAATTCAAAATGATTTTAAACACGACAGAGCCATCTCTGCTTAGACATGTTATCAGATACTTAAACAATGCTTTTACTAAAAGACTAGCATTAATTAGTAGTTAAGTTGGTGTTTATATACACTATATCAACAACAAAAAATACTTTTAAATTATTATTTACAAACCAAAAAAGAATTGTAACTTCTTTACTGTTATAATAAAGGTTATTATTATTATTATATACCACTACTTAGTGGAAGTCAACCTACTATGAATTCCTTTGTCACTATGGTAGAAATGGTAATCATATTTACAGTATTAAATGATTTGTTACCATGGCAGCTTTCCAAGAACTCAACAAACTGTTATTTAAGTATGTCTGATTGCAGCTCACTATGTCTGTATGACTTCCAGTTAGCACTGCTGTGTCATGTATACACACCCACTCACAATTAGCTAACACAATAACAACACACTACATGGTAATTTTTTGCTGGACACATGTATGTAATTTGTGTTGACTGTTGACTTCATTGCTCTGCTAAAAACTAACACACAGTATGAAGGAGCTAGATAAAAGCATGAGGTAATTTTTTTCAAATCCTAATCAGTTTACCCGGTACTTGTTTTTTATTTTTTCTAATCAAAGGGAATTTTTGTTGTACATTGTACCACAGTTCCTAGGGACTGTGATTGTACTGTCTTTTAACTTTTTCCAATCAAATACTAAATACACAATTTCTATAAATATTCAGGTTTTTATGACTCTTTTCTGTAATTCTGGACCAAACATCTATAATTTAAACTTTGTTTACAGGTTATATAAAGTTTTTATGATATGGGTTTCGGGTATCATTTTAGCCTTTCAGTATTCTTTGTGAAAAGTTATATAGTGTCACTTTGTTTGTGAATGAAACTTGACCAGTGGATGGCCTCTGTGACAGACTCGCCCAGGGTTTGTATTGACCCCTTTTGTATATGTAACACTAGCTGGGATTTGAGCTGTGAGACCTTTGCTACCAATCACATGTAACAGCTATTACACTACTGGTGATCTTTATTTGTATAACAGTAATGATTGAATAATTAACAGATATAATACACAATAACATCAACAGACTATTATAATATGTAAACAATAGACATGTCTCAGTGACTGCATGGAACTGTTGCTATTTCTGGTTACCCATGCTGTACAGAAAAAAAAGTCTTAGATTAGTTTAATCTATATACAGTATTTTCACAACATTTTGTAAAAGGACATTTAGGTTTTGAAAAAAAGGGTCTAGATATGCCAGTGGCATAGTTCTACCACTGTGCAAGGGAAGTTTGTAACAACCCCTACTTAAAGTCATTGAATTATGTTGGTTTCAATATTGGTCCCATTCAAGTTATACATTCATTATTTACATTATGACTGTGGTGCTTGAAGCTTACAGTAAATAATAATGCACAAAATAAACTTTGAGTGGGCGCTATTGTGGGTTAATGTTTTTACTTGATGTGAGCAGTCTGGTCTGAAATTCTCTTATCGATTTTACAGATTTAGCGAACTCTTTGTGTGGGGCCAGTTAAACATGTGTAATCGTTCCATATTTGGAATTTGGATTTCCTAATATGGTAGGATGCAAATACCCACTGCAATACCACAAAATTACGGCGTTACAGTGACCGATGTAAAATAATTAAATATATCGAAATCAACATAATTTAAGCTTTGCAACTTGTGCTCTCCAGAACACGCTTGTACACAAATGGCCGCAGATATCTTGATGAGAGCGGGAGAAATATGCAACTTGTTTTTGCCCCTCAAGCATTGTTCCATTTTCTTCTGTTTATCACATCCATTGTTCCCCTGATCTATATCAAAATGGTATTTGGAACAGTGGACACGATGATAGAAACCTGGTGGAAAATAAACATAGAGCCGAAGCCAATATGTTTATTTTCTGTCCGGGTTTCTATGCTATTCAGAACCAACAACTGACAAACAGCTGTTTCTATTTAAGTTTTAGGACTGAGTGTTCAATGTTTTGTCAGACAGTTCTAAAATTTGATAGTTACAGCATGATTTATTAACAAATGACTTTTCTGTAACACAGTTCAAGCATATAAACATAACTAGGGGACTTACAACAAAACCAATGTGAAAATGAAATATATAAAGCTATAATTTTGTTATTAATAATGAACATCAATAAAAAAATATTTAAATAAACAAAATGCAAATATATCAAATCATGAAGATATATATGATTATCTATGATATATATGTTAATAACAACGTTAATGTTTGTCTTTACTATTTTAGTGAGAGCAGTTATTGTGGTTCTGGTCGTTCATTGGCGAGTATTGGTAGTGACACCACAGTGGAAGATGATGTTTTTGCCAATATATCGATGTTAACTATTCCAGAATTCTCAGTCGTCAGCTCACAGTTTGGGAACGCTAATGTAGTCGGCCATCCGTTACAGTACAAATGGTAGGTCTACCCAGATGTGTTTTTAGCTCCGCTGTCGACTTTGAGTGATTGTCCGTCGTCCAAGTCAATGTTTTACTTTTTCAACTTCTTCTTGAAAACTATAAGCCTGAATGCTTTGATACTTGGTGTATATGTACCTTAGGTATACCTCTCCTAGAGTTGTTCATTTCATGATGATATCTTCAATTCTCTGATTTTGATGAATATTTTTTTCATTTTTGGTAAAAAGTGATATTTTCGACTTCTTGTTAAAAAACGCAAGTCCACTTGCTTTGATATTACATATATAGGTACTACATGTGGACCTCTCTCAGATTTGTTCATTTTGTAATGATATCTTCAATTCTCTGATTTTGATGAATATTTTTGTCATTTTTGGTAAAAAGTGATATTTTCGACTTCTTGTTAAAAACCACAAGTCCAATTGCTTTGATATTACATACATAGGTACTACATGTGGTCCTCTCTCAGATTTGTACATTTCATGATGATATCTTCAATGCTCTAATTTTGATGAATATTTTTGTAATTCTTTGGTAAAAAGTGATATTTTTGACTTCTTGTTGAAAACCGCCAGTCCAATTGCTTTGATATTACATATATAGGTACTACATGTGGACCTCTCTCAGATTTGTTAATTTCGTGGTGATATCTTCAATTATCTAATTTTGATGGTTATTTTTGGTGAAAAGTGATATTTTTGAAGTCTACATATTGTTCATTTTCTAATGATATCTTCTGTTCTTTAATTGAAATGTGCATTGGTAACAGTGGAGCTATCTCAGCCGAGATGCTGCTTGTTTAACAATACACATAAATTATGTAAAGATTAAGCCAGGTCGAGATCAACATTTGTTAGGTAGAAATAAAATGTGAAATTTCTGGGAGCCAGGGGGGCTTCTCAAAAAAATGAGGAGCCCCATAAGGACAGTTTTTGAACAGATTTTCAAATTTGAAGGTGTGCATGACACGATAGAGCATTCAGAGAGGAATTGTATGGATAAAAGCTAAGAGTGTGGTAACAAGACATTGTTGATAACATAGTCAAGAAAATTTCATTGAAACAAATTGACATGAATAGGAAAATGAAAGTACCTTGCCTTTGTACTAAATTTGAACAACTGTGATCTCTGGGTACCATGTCTGTGATGTTATTGTCAAGCTGGAATACCTGCAAAATAGTTGGTGTATTTTGAGAATATTAACAAAGGTAGCCTCCAAGCTATCATAGATCAATGTAATGACAAACAACATGCTTATTTATGTATATTGTTATGTCTTGTCATTGTGAACAATCATAGACCAGAGGGATAGGAAACTGCAGCAAAGGTCGAAGGCATTGCGTGTTGAAGATGTATGATGTAACTTGGCATTATACATTCTTGGTTGTATTAGTGTAAGTTAATGTTAGTTTTGATTTTCTTCTTTCTTTATAGGAAGTTTTGGTATGATAGCAGAGAAAATAAAACCAGCCGTACTCGTACTGATTACATGAATTATGGTAGCAATCTGATAGAGTTAGGAGTTGTTGAAACAGTAAGTATTTTCAATTTATCTTTATCTAGAGTTGTAGAAACAGTATTGTTACCTTATCACTAAATATCTGAAGTTGTAGAAATAGAGTATCTTGGATTATAGAAATCAGTATCCTGGGGTTGTAGAAACAGTCTTGTCTCAGATTATATCTGGGGTTTTAGAAATTGTATTATGACTTTATCAGTACCCATTGTTTGGTGATCATTAAAAAAAGTGTTGTTTGTTTCAGATTGAAGGTTTTTGGAGAATATTTAATTTCTTGGCACCTACTAGTGACTTGGACTCCAATGCTAATTACCATTTTTTCAAAGTAAGTTATCATGATGACTGATTACTGAAAATGAGTAAGTGAGCATGTCAGTGTGTTAGTGATACTGAATGAGAGAAGTAGAGAAAGTGAAATTGAATGAAAGAGATAGTGAGAAAGTGATACTGAATGAGAGAAATAGAGAAAGTGAAATAATGAGAAAGTGAGATTGAATGAGAGATAGTAAAAGTGAAATAGTGAGAAAATGAGGTTGAATGAGGTTGAATGAGAGAGATAGTGGGTGTGAAATAGTGAGATTGAATGAGAGATATTGAAAGTGAAATAGTGAGGTTGAATGGGAGATAGTGAAAGTGATATTGAATGAGAGAGATAGTGAAAGTGAAATAGAGAGAAAATGAGGTTGAATGAAAGAGAAAAGTGGAAGTGAAATAGTGAGATTGAATGAGAGATATTGAAAGTGATATAGTGAGAAAGTGAGATTGAATGAGAGACATAATGAAAGTGAAATGAGAAAGGGAGATTGAATGAGAGGGATAGTGAAAGTGAAATAGTGAGAAAATGAGGTTGAATGAGAGAGATAGTGGAAGTGAAATAGTGGGATTGAATGAGAGATATTGAAAGTGATATAGTGAGAAAGTGAGATTGAATGGGAGACAGTGAAAGTGAAATAATGAGAAAGTGAGATTGAATGAGAGATAGTGAAAGTGATATAGTGAGATTGAATGAGAGACATAGTGAAAGTAAAATAATGAGAAAGTGAGATTGAATGAGAGGTAGTGAAAGTGAGATTGAATGACAGACATAGTGAAAGTGAAATAATGAGAAAGTGAAATTGAATGAGAGACATACTGAAAGTGAAATAATGAGAAAAATCGAGATTGAATGAAAGATAGTGAAAGTGAAAAAGTGAGAAAATTAGATTGAATGAGAGACATAGTGAAAGTGAAATAATGAGAAAGTAATATTGAATGAGAGACATAGTGGAATAGTGAAAAAGTGATATTGAATGAATCAAGTGATTCATTTACTAGATGTCAAATAGTTCCAACCCAAAACAAATGGAAAATTGGAATTTGATCAATATCAAATTTGTTTGTACTCTTTTTTTACAGCTTGGTATAATGCCTATGTGGGAGGATATCTCAAATAAAGCTGGTGGTAAATGGGTTCTCACAATTAAGAATGAGCCAGAACTACTTCATCGTACCTGGTTAGAGTTACTACTTGCTTTGGTTGGTGAACAGATTGATTTCTCATGGGAAGTGTCTGGTGCTGTCGTGTCAAGGCGTCGTAGAGGAGATAGGATTGCTCTCTGGACAAAGAATAGACAGAACTTTCAAGCTAATATTGCTATATGGTGAGTACTGGTAATTCATGCCACTAATATTTTATCTCTGGTGTTCTCATATTGAATTGTTTTTGTTAAGTTCTGAAATTGTTTTGTTCTACTAATATTAGAAATCTGTTAATGGTTTATGTGGCAAATTTTTCTAAAATTGTTGATGTCATGATGTTGTTCAGCTGAATGAGTCTGTGAATTATATAGCCTCTAGCTGAGTTGCAAAGTGATGTCTAAATATGGTTGACATAAAACACTATAGGTTGAATATTAATACAATGTAGTAGTTTATAATCTGCATATGAATACAACCATGAGGATTTACAATCTGCATATGAATCCAGTCAGAGATTTACAATCTGCATATGAATACAACCATAGTGATTTGCAATCTGCATATGAATCCAATCAGAGATTTACAATCTGCATATGAATACAACCATAGTGATTTACAATCTGCATATGAATCCAATCAGAGATTCACAATCTGCATATGAATACAACCATAGTGATTTACAATCTGCATATGAATACAACCATAGTGATTTGCAATCTGCATATGAATCCAATCAGAGATTTACAATCTGCATATGAATACAACCATAGTGATTTACAATCTGCATATGAATACAACCATAGTGATTTACAATCTGCATATGAATACCATAGTGATTTGCAACCTGCATATGAATCCAATCAGAGATTTACAATCTGCATATGAATACAACCATAGTGATTTACAATCTGCATATGAATCCAATCAGAGATTTACAATCTGCATATGAATACAACCATAGTGATTTACAATCTGCATATGAATACAACCATACTGATTTGCAATCTGCATATGAATCCAATCAGAGATTTACAATCTGCATATGAATACAACCATAGTGATTTACAATCAGCGTATGAATACAACCATAGTGATTTACAATCTGCATATGAATCCAATCAGAGATTTACAATCTGCATATGAATACAATCATAGAGATTTAAAATCTGCATATGAATACAACCACAGAGATTTACAATCTGCATATAAATACAATCATAGACATTTACAGTCTGCATATGAATCTAATCATAGAGATTTACAATCTGCATATAAACATAAAAAGTGGTATTATTGATATTTTGATTATGTATATCTTCACTTCCATGCATTTTCAACACATAAGATCGGGGGTATTTGTGGTTCAGCTTATATTGACCATTGCTACACATCAAATATTATCTAAGATGGTTACCATAAAAGTTCAGCCTGTGTTGTATGTGAATAGTTTGGAGAATTAAATTTTAATATCCTACAGACATGTAATAAAAATATTACCGACCAGATATGTTTCATTACACAACAAGTCCCCTTTTGATGTTGGGCAAATAATCTACTGCTGTCTGAGCCCATAAAAGTTCACATTTTATTTTATTTTTTGCAGTAAAGGAATAATAACAGCTTGGGCGTATGCTAAGAACGTTCCACCTAACGGTATGCTGACATACTTGAAGAATTTTAACAGCAAACGAGAGAAGATAAGTTTAGAATATCTGCATCATGTTGACTCGTTGAAGTCTGGTAATTCCTATGCTAATACTGCTCATATGACGCTGGAGAATGTGATTGAGGTACGAAACAAATCAAATTGTTCAGCATTTGCCATGCTACACATGCACAAAAATCATGTTTGTAGACACATTGTATTCGTTGCATGGGACCCATATAGACAATATGGATGCTTGCATGTGCTTGAATCTCATGTAAACAAATAAATTAGACATGTTGTAATGCATCCTGACAACATTAAACGCATCAACTGTGACACTTCAATTGGTTTGATAGGGATTCCGAATTTGAGTGATAAATATGAAAGCTAAATTAAAAATTCATCTACTTGGCTGTTGTGATGGATGGGCTAAATTATCACAATCCGTTCTTATGTGGATTTTTTTTTACATTTTCTTCAGGATTTAATCAAGGAATTCAGGTGAATCATTTAATCTGTCATAATGGCGATTACATGATCTTCATCGACTGGTGAACATCATCTACAATTTATCTGTATCATGGTACCACTATGTGAATGTAAGATCTGTTACCATGGCACCTCTTGAATAATTTGTAGGATTCTGAAGGAGAGCAGTTCCTGTTCCAGTTATGTACTAAGAATATAGAGGGCAGTCTTCATTAAATGTTTGGATTCAGTGCACTTCTAACAACATAGATTATATTGGTCTAGGGATACTTTGTGTGCACAAAGTATCAAAAGACTGAATAATTGTCATTACTCTCGTCACTTAGGTTTTTGTTAAATTTGAAAGCACAACTTTAATCATGATGATAATTTTAGAAAACAAAATTTGCCAGAAACTTTATATTTCAACTGTGGCTTTCAATATAAACATTAATTCGCACAACCTAAAGATCAATCTTAAAAGTATTAAAAGATGGTTATTACGTTATTTTGTTTTTCGACCAAAAAAAATGAAAAATATTGCGAAAACTTGATAAAAAATATTTTTTTTCATAGCTGTACTTTGTGTATTATTTTTTTGGAAAGAAATTTGATTGTAAGAACATTTATTTGTGATGTAATCCATCAATGTACTGAAACAGGCAATAGCAATTACATGCTAAGGAACACACACACTGTTTAAACTCCTTACCAGTGAGGGCACTCTCATGCTTCTACTACCCACCTGTTGAGGGCCCACTCACAAACTCCTCAGCAACAGCCTGTTTGACATCATTGATGGATTTTACTCTAATAAGAATTTATAATGCCATAAAAAAAATTAGATTAGACAATCATTGGTGCTATTTTTACATTGTTCACTTTTTCATATAGATATAGATATAATATTTATTTACATTGTAATAGTGCTACAGTTATTTATAGAATGTAATATTACATTAAGCTTTAACAATTGGGAAGATATCAACTTCCCAATCATGATTTTCAGGAACTCCATTTTCATAGATAATCCATTTTAGATTCTTAAAATTATTTCTTTTTAATGATAGTGCAGATAGGCCTGGACCTAGATAGTGCTATCACTGTAAAATAGGTGTGAAGATCTTATTGCTTCTCGTTATTATACGAAGTTTGTTGTATACCTTACATAGAACTTTTTGTGTAGTAAGTTTGGTCGGTGGCTCTGATAAGAATATCTTAGAAATGTGTGCCTTGTAACACATTTGTTACTGTCTTTGTAAACAAAATGTGGACATTAGTATTTTATAATCTTTATAAGATCTTTATTGTGTTTACAAATTATCTATTAAATCTTTTCAATAATGCAGGAGCATGCATACATCTTCACTGTTGTGCCTATATAGATCATAGCATTTTACTGCCTGAGGGGTGTGCCACCTTTCAAAGTGAAACTTGATCTATTTTTTGATCCACAATATATACCTAGATACTTACTTCTGGATTTTTATATTGATTTTTCAGTTATTATTGATACAAACGTAGCAATTGACCATTAATTGACCTAATTTGTTGTGTCTATTTCTTGGCAAGCAAAAACATTATAACTTGACTGCCAGTGAATATTACTACCGGTAGTACTGAAAAAAAGCACTTTACTTTAGAGCGTACCAGTATAGATTACTTAGTCACCCCAACCCCCATGATGCTGCCACCAGATTTGACTAGTGTTGTTTTGACAAATCAAAATCTTTGTTCCAAAAATAAAGATCTATACCATTTTTTATATTAAAACATTTTTATTAAAGCAAGCCATGAAACCATGGTTTTTAGTTACTGCTTTTTTGGCTTAGTATGACCATTTAACAAATTTCAAAATGGAAAAACATAAACTCTTTAGCTGTTTATTGATAGCGCCTTTTAATCATATTCTAAATTTTGATCGGTTGTTTTAAATTTAATCAATGAAATATTGGGTACTTTTTTTAAATATTGTTTTATTTTGAAATTTACATGTATCTACGGTATTAGTTTCTATAAATTGTTTGTTTTTAGGGAAAATGAAAACTGTGACAATAATCATGTTTGTAACTCAGTAATACTATATAGTTACTTGTATTGTGATATAATGATTTATATTTGAACCATTCAAATGTATGAACATGTATGCAAATTAGATCCTGTGACATGTATGCAAATTAGATCCTGTGACATGCAAATTATTCAAGGTAACATCTATGCAAATGATTTATATTTGAACAATTCAAATGTATTAACATTTATCACATAACATGTATGCAAATTACATCCTGTGACATCTATGCAAATGATTTATATTTGAACAATTCAAATGTATTAACATTTATCACATAACATGTATGCAAATTACATCCTGTGACATCTATGCAAATGATTTATATTTGAACAATTCAAATGTATTAACATTTATCACATAACATGTATGCAAATTACATCCTGTGACATCTATGCAAATTTGTCACATGACATGTATGCAAATTAAATCCTGTAACATGTATGCAAATTACATCCCCAGACATGTATGCGAATTACATCCTGTGACATGTATGCAAATTGCATCACATGACATGTATGCAAAATAGATCCTGTGACATGTATGCAAATTATTCAAGGTAACATGTATGCAAATTTTATCATGTAACATATATGCAAATCATGTAACCTAATTTGAGTATCGGTATAACGAGAAATTGGACTGGATTTATTCCTAATTTGCAACATGGCAAACAGTGGTATAGTAAATTATATATTTCTCATCATTTATAATTTTTAGGGTTAAAAACTATTTGACTATAACATAACTTTGGCAGTACATGTATTTGACTTATGTGTGAGAAAGCATTTTGTAATTTAATGTGCCTGTAGTGGCATTTTGTCATAAATAATTTTTTCACAAAGGTCAGTAGTACAGGTGGTCACAATGACTTAAGCTAATATTAACATCTGAGAATTTTCTGTATTTTTTCAAAGAATATTTTGCTAATCTACTTGTCTTCCCAAGTTCATTCATCAAAAATAAAATTATTTTAAGATAATCTAAACCATCTAATCACAAAAAACTAAATAAATTAAGTTTATTTCATTTCCAGATTTAAAGCGGAAGGAGTTAAGCAGTCTGTATGTATGTATGTATGTAGAGGTAGCAGTAATCCATTCTTGCACTTGTCATAGTATAATCCCCCTCCCACTCATGCATGAGCCCCTCCCCTTTCTGTATATCAGCTCATATTGATTGAATTGCACTGAAAACTGATGAAATTTTGAAGTGATTTACTGTGATGCAGATGATAATCAGTACCTGGTCACAAACCTGGGATATAAACTCCTTGTAACTTCCTATTAAAAGTTTGGTTACTGTGTTAATTATTTCTATATTACATTTCAACTTATTTTATATGCAAGACTCTTTTTATCGTTTTTGTTTTTTGTGACTTAGCTGATTATTTTTTTTCAAAATTCCACAACTTTTATGTAGTCAACCTCTAATGTGGGCATTTCTTGAAAGTGATACAGCATTTGCAATACAATAAATGAACTTGTAACTAGCTATTCTATCAATCAGGCTACGTAAACTACATCACATAGCTGATTGTCATGAAAAATAACATCCAACCAGTGTACAATGGAAATGTACAATTACAAGGCCAGTATAATGTACAAAGGATCAGTTGAGTGTTATTTTTTGGAAACAACGTCTGTAGGTTTATATATAGGTAGAAGTCAATGACAAACTAATAACAATGTATGCTGTGGAAAGGTGAAACTATCCGATAGTTTGATTATTGAAATTGTAATTTTTTTTTCATTTTCATTGTTTTTATAGTTCATCCCAGTATATAGAAACTGGATTCCAGTATTTTTTTCATGCAGACTGAACCAAATTAAAATTAGCTTGATATTTTATATAGAAGAACTGTTTTTAGAACTTTATTTTTCTTCTTAATTGGATGTTAATTCTTGTTGTACTAGCCAATATACTTATACTTGTCATCTGTTATTCTAGCCAATACAATTCTAACCCAATCAAATCATGCCTTTTCTTTCTTATGGCCAATCACAGATGTTGTAACATGAGATAGTTCATAGAACAGATGCCATGATTGGTTCATAGCAAACATACTTCCATATTAGTTTTGATGGGCATTCTAGGAATTATTCATTCATTCAAAGTAGATATTTTTTTAAGTAATTTATGTAATCATGTCTGTAATGTCCAAAGTATACAATTAAAGTATTTGATGTATATAAATGCTAATTAAATGTCTTAAATCATGTCTGTGCTTCGTAACAGTAGCCAAATGGCAAACTCGATCCGGATCCAGATAGAGGTAATCTTTATTGTTTTTATAGGGACCGACCACTCTCACAAAAATTTCAACATGTACCAAGATTGGAATCCATCTCAATTCAATTCTAGTTTACTAGTGAGCTAGTTTAGTGCCTTTCTGTTCAAACCCCTGCTTACTTACTAAACAGTTTACAAAATGCAAATTATTCACGATCGACTCCCATAGTACATGTATATGTTATTCAAATTATATAGTAAATGCTAACTACATAGGAATTGTTGGTGCATCCAACAGAAGTGTTTGGGAAATGTTGACTCCCATAGTACCTGTTGAATTCAAGGCAAATATACTATAAGAAGTGTTAAATCCCATAAATGTTTAATCCCATAGAAAGTATTTAATGCCATGGTAAATGTTGACTCCCATAAGAATTGTTAAATCATTTCGCATAGAAAGTATTGTTGCATCCCATAACATTTTTTAAATGCCATAGGAAGTGCTGACTAGTAAAAAGTGTTAAAATCCCAAAGGAATTGTTAGGTCCAATAGGAAGTGTTGACTCGCATAGCAATTCTTGAATCTCATAGAAATTGTTAGATCCAATAGAAAGTAGTGGATAGTATAAAGCAAGTTCCATAGAAAATGCTGACTCGCATAGAAAGTGTTAAACTGAATAGGAAGTATTTTTAAACCCCATAAAATGTTTTAAATACAATTGGAAGTGCTGACTGGTAGAAAGTGTTAAATCCCATAAGAGTTGTGTCCAATAAAAAGTTTTGACTAGTAGAATTTATTGAATTCCTTTTAGGAAGTATTCTTGAATCCCATAGAAGTATTCAAATTATCGTATACACTTAATTTCATTCAAGCATGAACGTTTCAAGTGAAAATGTATAAAACATTTATGAAATATTTACTTCAATAAACTTTCACGTACCAACATTTATTGAATGTTATACCAAAATAAGAAAAAAGTTTGTTTTTTTTCTAAATTGGAGGAATAATAATCATATTGTATTTTATAGTTAGATTATATGCATTTGCACCCACATTTTAAGGACATATTTTTTTAACGTTAGTTAAAGCGGGAGGGTCGACACCTGCGCACGCGCGGGAATTGAGTCCCAAACGACGATAACAACACGCTAAAATCGCAAAGGCTCATGGACGACCCACCCTCTTTAAAATGCACCATCGCAATAATCACTTGATGAATAGAGAATATGTGTGCAACACGTATAAACATTATACGAACACGGTTACAGAGGGGCTGGTGTTTTTCAGTAATAAAAGATATTTATGACCCTCCCAACAATTGAATAATTTGTGACAAACTAGTTGTTTCTTTCCTGTTTTCCAGCAAAGTCAAAAGAATCCTAGTGGCATTGTTAGTCCTGATCTTGTCTTTGACGCTCCGCATGGTCGCAAAATGATTGGAAAGAACCACAAAATTCTAAAATTAAATGTTTTTCATTGAGAAACATAAGTATATTATGCTACAAGGAGTACTTTAACCAATTTATATGTAGGAAAAAAGCAAATAAGAAAATAAATCTCATTGCTATAGTATCTGTAGCATTCATCAAACATTTATTGTGTTAACTGTATATAGTCATAGCAAAGTTGTATGGCACTGTACCTTTGGGTTTTCTAGAAAATAACACTGTATTGTTTGGTGATCAACGCGGATTTCGAGTAGAAAATGTCTAGATCATATTTATTCCTTCACGTCTATTGCTCGGAAAATTGTGGACTGTCAACTTTTGCATTTATTGATTTACGTAAAGCCTTTGGTATTGTTGACCATAATGATTAAATATATAAACTGTTTATCAATGAACTCCAGTCGGTAGGAACATGTATAGCAGTATAAAACCAATGTACAACGATAACCCGTGCTACTGCTAAATGGTGTTTATGCTGAATGGTTTCGCCACTGACAAAGGTGTAACGCAGGGTGGCAATTTGTTTCCGACTTTGTTCTGTATATTTATTAACGATTTGGCAGTGGAAGTTAGAGATATGAAAAAAAGGCATTAGTGTTGATAATAATGATATAAAAATTCTACTATATGCTGATCATATTGTGTTTTAGCAAACAATGAATTTGATAGACAATCATGTTGAAACATCTAAATATTTGGGATATAAAATGTCGCATTCATGTAAATACCTCAAAATAAAAATATTGTACACTATTATACTCAGTAATGAGAAGTACCAGTAATCGCCGCCCCCACATCGGGAATGAGAATTTAAATTATGTTAGAGAATATAAATACTCGGGTCTTGTCCACTGGCAGAGCTCTGGGTACATTATAAGTCAAATTTTAAAGCGTTACGTAATATGGGTCTTTCTACTTACACAAATATATACAAAGCAGGTGTCGTGTCAATTCCTGAGAACTGTTTGGGATTACGAAAAGGTTAATAAATGTAAAATGATTCAGAAAAGAATATTTTTTTCCTGGGTGCATAGACTATTGTGATGAATTTGTTTTTGCGTATCTGTTAATCTGATTATTAGCGAATGGCTGTGTTATGTCTGTCATCGTTTCGGCCCATTTGAGGTTCTGGACGGAACTCGACTCAGTGATTTAGAACTAATTACGAGATAATCGTCTCTATTCGGACTACTATTTCTGACAGTTGGTATTCGTAGTTATTAATGTAGTGAACGATTAATCAAAAGATATGACGTGTTCAGTACTTAGTGTGATGCTTTCTATTACAATTTTGGCCGATTTGTATGAATTATCAATCATTGAGATTGGTATTGTTTTTGTCAAGTCAAGTAAAACCATTATTATTTTTTTACAGATAATCCCTATCGTATAAGTAGAATTATTTTTTATTTATCATTTGCAATTGACTAGTACAAGTGTATTTATTAGTTACCTCATTAGTATTTTCATACGTATTTTTTATGGTGTCTTATAAACTTATTGGGTTGGACAACTCTACGAGCTGCTGGTCACAGTAATAAAACTACTCGTCTTTCATATATATGTATAGCTTACTTTTCCTTTTGTTCATATATATTCCCAATGATTAACAATGGAACTGATATAATTTGTTGGTTATATGATTGATCTGTGAAGTCATAGAAGAGGTTTGTGAAAACACGGAGCTTTCAGTCCATTCTGGCAGTTTTCTGTGCTGCAATCACGTTTGCAATTTTGTATTAGCCTACCAATCAGAATGTTTTTGCACATAGTCTGTAGCGTCATTGTATTTGCTCTTTTGTATTTCATTTATTCATTCATGCTTCACATCAGTTTACACAATCTTCACCTTCATTATTCTTCAAACCTACATCATGATATTTTATCATGTAATCTCTGAACAAATGCTCCAGGAGAAGAAGGAAATCCTTTTGAAAACAACGTATTTACCTGGGGTCAATCTGTGTGAACGTCTGGCATAAAAATAAACAATGTAAAGTTTAAATATGTCCTGTATACCCATAATTATAGCCCAATTGTCCTGGTTGACAATTAAATCATTAACCAACCGTTGAAAAAGAAAGACCCCGTGGAACTAAAAGTATACGTCTGCTATTCAGGCAGCTGCGTTGACGCCCAAAGTTTGCAAGACCGATGATCACTTGCCATTGTGGCGTAGATATAGAATTTTTTGGAATCATATATTTTATTTACTCGCCAATCCCACCTCTGGATCACATTACAGTGCCAACTTATTATTCATTTGCCGTATTGCACTGAAAATATGGTATTCCACCTTCCTGGCGACTTCTGATGGAATGAGCAAACCAAACAATGATGCATATAGGTTTATGAAAATAATTATCACTGAAATAATCTATATATTATAGTGTAGTGTGCATTTGGTCGATCTCTTATCTATGGGTTAGTAAATGTGTACCATGTTAGTCTGGAGTTAATGTTGACTACATGGAAAGTGTTGTTGATTCCCATGTAAAATACCCAAGGAAATACCCCTGGGGTAATTCCAAAGTAGAAATATATGCTGTTCGAAACCGAAATTGTCATCTAAGCGTTAGGCCGTCGCTGATTGGCTGCTGTGCTGGAATGCCAATTTTTAAGTTTCAAATACCCCGGCTTAGTGTTCTTGGTTCTTCGCGTAATTAGGTGTTCGTATGCAAGGGATTTTTCCACACAAAAACGACGAATTCGGCCGAATTTTGTTATCGGTTGGCTTAATATAACCCCAACGGACCGTATTTTTGTGAAAGATTGGTATTTTTGTCCTGATTTGTAGGAATCTGAAAAACGCGTTTTACAACTTGTCTCTTATTTAGTTTTATGCGTCAGGTCATTCAAGATGACGGCCCCCATATAGTAAATATCGTATTTATTTTATTATCACGTGTGCGCCAGCTGACTGGGTCTATCAACCAGCGCTCTAGTAACAAAAACTTGCATAAATTTCAAATGTAAACCAATACATTTTGTGACGTCACAATAGCTTGAGAAGATTACTCATAAATAAAAAAATACTCAGAATTCATTCATTATGGTTGTGATCTTAATTATTGTACGCTATATAGAAAAATCCTATATTGGTATTGGTACTTTCTGTTGTCCTGAATCATTTCAAAAATCCGGGTGTGGCTTGTAGTATCCAGGTGCAGCTTGTAAAAAAAAAAAAAAAAAAAAAAAAACACTCATGGCAAACTTTATAATTAAACGAAAAGAATTATAAAGAGAAAATAGAACAATATTGAAAATATAAGAAATTCGTTAGAGTTGTATTATCACTCGCATGATCTATAACTACCTTTCACTAATATTCGGATAAATCATAAGGGCTTTGGATTTTGTGTTGTTTGTGAGAAACTTGAATATTAAAGGGCGGTGGTCGTCGTGCCGTGTCCTGTTCGATATGGGACTCATAGCGACGTATACAACGCCTGTAAAATACATTGTTTATTTACATGAAATTCGAACAAGCGCTGTGCGACAACCACCACGCTTTAACCAATAAAAACCTGAAATGGAGTATTGACGAAAGTAGTAATTAATGACATTTAATTAATTTCACTATTTTGAGCAAATTCACTGGGTTTTAAGTTCGTGAACTTGGCAGGAAAACATTGAGTTCTATTGTCATTCCACATGTTCACGTGGATTTAATTTACCGAAAAAGTTACGGAATAATTAACGCGTTTACAGTATTCGGAGTCTGGACTTGTCCGGACGCGAATATATGCTGAGTTAATTATTGCCAAATAAACATACATACGAGCCATGCGATCTGCTTTGTTGTTTGTTATATATTTATTTAAATACTTATTTTTGTCATTATTGGGCACATGTAGGTCACTTTTTCCTAAGACATTTCCTGAGTAATGTGCTTGAGGGCGCACTTTCGATACATTGAGTTTCTGCTTTAGTTTCGTCAGTTGGTAGTTACGTCGAATTCATGTGTGAATGTACTGCCTTTCTGTTCACCGATCGCTATTAAAGACGTCCTACATACACACTCTGGCACCACTGTTCCCTGTACTTGGACTTCAAAGCAAGTCAAATCAAGCAGTGATAAAAATGACGTCTAACAACGGTGACATGACTAATTCATGGACGTCTTCCGTCTCTGAGAAGGGCGAATACGTCAGAAAAACAACAACTTTTCGTAAGACCGTCACAGGTAAGTACAATTGTAGTGATATTGGTTTTGTATGACTGATTTCAAAAGTGTAAGGAAGAGCCGTTTAAAACGTGGGGGTGGTCGTCTAACAATTGCCCAATAGTGTGTATAACACAATACCGTTTCCGATAGAAAACCTTCGCATTGTATTCTGATCACCCCTTACATTTTCCTGTAGTATTATGGCCTTCAAAGCTTTATAAATTTAGAAAAAAAACTATTATCATTATACAGGTATACAATTCTGCAAATACCTTTTAAAAGTAAATAGCAAAGCAAGTAATTTGGCAAGCATACTAGAGTTGGGAAGATATTCTCTCCTAGCAACAAGCTTAAAATATATGATCAAATATTGGATCAAAATAAATAATTCTAACCCAAATTCGCTAGTACATGAAGCTTACAATCTTGGAATACATCTTGATAAAAAAGGAAAAGACAACTGGGTAACAGACATAAAACAATTTTTAGAAAATTTAAATATGGGAAATATTTGGGAAAACCATAAATCTCTTGATGACAAACAAATCACTGAAACAGTAACGCGCAAACTAGAACAATCCTTTGAAACACATAGCACAGAAACATTACACGATGACAATAAAGGTAAAAACCACAAAAACAAGTTGCAAACCTATAGGAAAATTAAAACAGAATTTGCATATGAAAAATATCTCACCACAATCAAAAATCCAAATCGTGAACCCTCCCATTGTGGAGTCTGATCTGTGTACTTTCTGTTCATCATGCTCTGAATCTCTTATCCATTTGTTTTACCAATGTCAATGCACCCAAGATTTTTGGGAAACACTGTATATGCTTTGGGGGGGGTAAGCTTGGCCTGAGGGCATTCCCGAATGCACAACAAATCCTTTTTGGGGATGAAAACTTTACATGTTTAGTCAACTTCCTCTTTCTGGTAGCAAAAAAATATATTTACTTGTGTAGACATAAAAATCAAAAGCCAGACTTCATGGCATACAAAAGATATGTAAAATATTTCCTGGAGATAGAGTACTTCATTGCTGTCCGACGGAATAAGTTGACTTCTCATAACAAGAAATGGGGATATTTTATGAAAAATGTTACCCAATCCACTTCACAATATGTAGATTAATTGCAATTTGTAATGTACAAACCAGGTATGTAAGATGTTAATTTCAGTGCAAACTCCAATAAAAGTTTATAAATACAAACAAAAAAAAAAAAAAAAAAAAAAAATCCAAATCATAGAGCAGCTATGACAAAACTCAAGAATAAGTGCTCATACCCTTCAAATCGAAACGGGCAGATATAATAACATTTTAGCGGAGAACCGAATTTGCCCAGTTTGTGACATACAGGAAATTGAAACCAAAAAACATTTTCTTCTCAATTGTAATTTATACAAGAAGGAACGAGAAATCATGATCAACAATATTAAATACAATATAAGCAACTTGGGGACGGATGACGAAAAACTTACAAATATACTAAAAATTAAAAATGACAAAACAATCATTGAACTTGGAAAATTCATCCACACTTGTTTCAAATTACGACAAGAAAAAATCTTAAAAAGCCAGACCACCAAATAATTAAAAATTTTTTTCTTCTTTTCAATCGTCTATGACTGTCTTGTGTTTTTTTTTTTTTGCTATCTTTTTGTATTACTTCATTGTATTTTCAACTAAGATCCCACTCCGGGATACGGTTTCATAAAGATTATTATTATTATTATTATTATTATTATTATTACAACTGCTATTTTTAAATTGCTTGGTAAACAGAATGTTTATTCACCACCAATTTCAACCAGTGCTGCAGCAGCTATACTTACTTTACAAATGTCATCAAAAGCAAACAGATATTCAAGGAATAACCACCCCCAAGGGGTGAGTACACCACAAGATTTTCACCAGTTTTACAGCATGCATACACTTTCAATAATGAGTGTGTTTATAGCGATAACTGACTGGCCGAGCCCGATTCCACTACCACAGGAAACATAGGCCGAATTAAAATTGTGCTTAAAGTGCCTGTGAAATGGCTGCTATTTTCACACCTAAAATTATCCATTGATACATAAATATTATTAATTTTTATGTTTCTAAGCATAAATTATAAATCTCTCAAAACTAAAAGTTGTAAAACTGGTCGATATTCATAGCAAAATATCTAAATTTATTTTTGTTTAAGTCATCTGTCTTCTGAGAACGTTTTTTCCACTTCAAAAAGTGGTAAATTGTTGCCCACCTAGTTAACATTTCAGCGACTGTTATGCCATCTGGTAGCCATGAGTACAGTCCTGTAGGTTGGCCTTCTTCCGCTGATCATTCGGTACTCAGGGCTAGCCATCTTGGAGATTTTTGAGCTATACGCGACCTCTTCACACGCGTGATCAAGCACCGGATATGACATCATTTTCGTACAGTGCAAGGCTTCGCTACATCTGAAAGGTGAGTACCGACGTTATTACGTTTATTTTTTTAATTTTCCTGAAAAAATAGGTGATTTTTTGAAACCATTTATTGTGAGAGTTATTACTAGCTATTACAGAGCCTGCCGCTTATACCCACTTGATAAGAGCAAGATAGACTGTCTTTTAAAATGAATTCTTGTGTTCGATTTATGTATGATATCAGCGCAAACAAGCGCCACGCAGTTTTCTAAAGCCGGAAGTACTGACCCTTTGCAAGGAAAACACGTGCGACAATGTTTTCACAGAATGGCGTCTCGCTATTCATTTGAAACAATGGGACAAATAGAGTAGTATCTTAGTAACAATGACAATGGCATTGCTCACTGCTGGGAATCAATTTCAAAATCAAAAGGTGGGAAATTGGTAAACTACAGAGGCACAGTTCTTTAGCGGGTATGGTCAAAACAGGCTGCGACATGATCAGTCTTCCAGATAAACATAATGAACATAATAAATAAAAATAGATAAATAAACAAATGAAAAAATAAAAGTAAAAATAAATAATGTGTAAATGTAAGATATGTGTAAATTTGATATTTTTTTAAGTTAACGAGCACTTTGCAAGTATCCTACTAGTACATATATCATGAATTTAGATTATTTTCATTGGCATATATTGTACCATTCATTCCGCTCCATTCCAGCTAAAATTAAGTCACCAAATTTATATTTTATTCATTGCATTTACATTGTAATTCATTGGTAATGTCATTGAATCATTATGTGGTAATATTTTTTCCTATGGCAGTTGTCTTTGGCACCTCAATAATTATAGTACTTTACTATGTATTTCAGGTGCCTGGATTCCTGAAATGGTATAATATAGTTTATGAAGGTGACAAAGTGGAGGCAGTATACTCTTACACATTACAGGATAACATGAAGAATGGAAACCTGGAAATAATAGTTTAATTTAATTTTATTGTAAATAAAGGTCAGTTTTGACTCTTGTATATGAGCTGATAAAGTGACTGCGTCTATCTATAATTTATAAATGTATGTGCATATATTCGGGACATTGGAATGTTGAAATACGTGGGTGTGCTAATCTGAGCACCCCATATGTTGTGTCATGTGCGTATAAAGTTTTTGTGAATAAAATGTCCATTTGGTATTTTACATGCAATTGATATGACGGCATGGGACCCATATCGCATATGATCTAGTACGTTTAACTTTAAATCATTAGTCTGAATAAGACAAACACATAATAATGGCAATCGTGTTGGCAATTTATATCATAATAATCAAATGTCATATAACGGACTGTATTTCTATATTATTGTGCACTTAAGAATTCAACAAGGGAGTTATTGCAGCCCAAATAATTAAATTGTTTGGAATGATTACACATATATTTCAAGTACATGTATAAACAATGTTATTTGCATAATTTTGGCAGATAAGCCGTTCAGGAGCTGTATTTATTCAGAAAAAAGTTCTGTAGTTTTACTACAAATAAAGTTCAGTGACACACAAACGGACGGACAACGGACAGACAACGGACAGTTGCTCACATGCCATCAACCAACAATGTTGCCGTACTACCTCTTAAAGCCTCCACTATGTTATGGCTAAAAACAAAGAATTACAAAATAGGTGGTTTAGACACTAGTAGTTACAATTCGGGAAGTGGTCTTAACCGAAACTGGCAACCTGCAACTGGGTACTTTTGGACTGATATTACACCCAATGCATGTGATCAAGATGGAATTCTGGATAATACTGAAATCTTCTAACAGATGGCTACATATTTTCCAATCTGATTAAAATCTGATGTAGTGTACGGGCTTTAATTATTTTGGCTATAAACTTATTTTAATTTTATTTTTTATTACTTTTGTTATTAATGCCCTTTTATTTTATTTTATTTTATTATTTTACTTTGATTTTGATTTTGTGATTTTTTTAATTCCGCCCTACCTACATCTGATCCGACGCCTATGTAACGAGATTTCAACGAGACCCACTATCGACGATTTTAGTCAAGGAATCACATACCTCCTTCTATAGCGCACATGATGACGTCACCGGGCGGAGTCGGGTGGAAAACACACTCAAATAAAATGGCGGATTATCCCGACGTTAGCGACCGAGAATAACATGGCTTTTCGGTAAGTTTATCATTGTCAAATGCAACGAAAGTCATTTTTATGTTAATATTGTGGCTCGAATGGTTCGACTTTAGATCGTTATTTTGCATAGTTATTCTGGGAGTGACGATTTTGTTTCCGCCGTTTGG